GTGAGCACGCTGTTGTGTATGGAAAGGTGACGTATATATATTAATATCTAATTAATTGTTAAGATTTGCATTACTGAATTTCAAGTAATGTATACTTCCTGTTCCTTTGTCGTGTATAATTGACTAATTCTCTGTTGATACTCGATATATTTTAGTCTGCAATTGCGGGATGCTTGGATGGACTTCGAACATACATAATTTTTGAAAAAAGATTAGATGGGTATATCGAATTAAATTTACCAGATTTGGAACTTGGTCATCCTTTGCTATGGCCAATTTCTGCATTTACATCTATGAAAAAATGTAATTAAATAAATGATGATGATGATATGGCGATGATGATTTCTTGATTATTTTATGTGAACTATCTATTATAACTGTGTTTATCACTCAACTATAAACAATTTATCAATTTAGATTCATCAAAAGGTGGTAACTGTGATGATGAACCATTATTTAATGAAGAACTCTTTCAAGCAATTAAACCATTTGTTCATGAGGGAAATAAAAGAAATGAAGATGAACAAAAGTTGGATCATTTACAACAGGTAGCCGCCTCAGCATTTCTTTATCTTTTTGCAAGTATTGAAGATAAACGGGCTTTATGGTAATTAATTTATATAATTTATTTGCTAGCATTATCAGAAATAATAATTTCTTTTACAAAATAGGAGTGGAATATCAATTTGTGTAAGCTCAGATCTCCCTGTTGGTGCTGGCTTAGGATCATCAGCAACTTATTCAGTCTGTTTGGCTACAGGATTATTACTTGTACTTGGTCATATTTCAATTCCAAATAATAACAGTAATCAAGATGATGAAAAAACTGATACTTCTGCTGCAAAATTGATAAATCAATGGGCTTATCAAGCCGAAAAGGTTATACATGGAAGACCATCAGGAATAGATAATAGTGTTGCTACTTATGGTAATTAATCACCTTAATGGTTTATTTTTATATTTACAATTATTAATGTTTCTTGAATTTTATTTTGACGGACTTAGGTGGAGCTGTATTGTATAAGAGTGGGAAAATAGAACCAATTAAGGAGTAAGAATTATTTTTGATGATTAAAAAGAATCAACCCCCAAAAACTTCATATATATTGACTAAGACTTTGTAAGTTTTCATTCCATTCGATTTATACTTACCAATACTAAAGTACCTCGTAATACACTAACTCAAGTAGCAAATGTTAGAATAAGACATGATAAAGTAAGATTAATTGAAAATTTCATTTGTTTATGAAACTTGAAAAAAATTTTTTAACATTTTATAAAAAATTATGCATATATAATATATATAGTTTCCACAAATTATTGACCCAATTTTAGATGCAATTGAAAATATCAGTGTATCTTTGAAGGAGATTCTTAAAAAGCTTGATAAAATTGGTATTTGATCTCAATAATTCTTTCTTTCTTTCTTGTTCTTATTATAATGTGTTAATAAGCTATATTGAATTGAAATTAGATATCAGTGAATTCTATGAGAAGATTGGGGTATTTGATTTTTTGTAAGAAATATTCAAATATATCTATCTGCCTAACAGTATATATATTTTTATTAGGAATTTATTGATATAAATCATCATCTTGCCAATTCATTGGGCGTTGGGCACCATTCACTTGATAAAATATGTGAAATCACAGCAGATTATAAATTACACTCAAAACTTACTGGAGCTGGAGGTGGTGGATGTGCATTGACATTGATAAGAGAGGGTAAATATTTATATTTATTATTATTGTTGTTGTTTATTATAATTATAATTATTAACAGATTTATATATTTAATATTTACATGGTAGATGTTAGTGATAGTGAATTGAGTAAAGTGATAATTTCATTAGAATCAATTGGATACAAATGTTATATATCAAATGTTGGTGGACCTGGTGTAGGAGTGATTGATGTGACAAATATGATTAATCTAAAAGAACTTTTAGGATCTAAAACTCGTCCAACTGTTGGTTGGAGATATTTCAATTAAAAACTATATATCTGATATTTGTTATGTATTAAAGTTGGTGCTTGAATATGTCAATGGTTCACTATACATATTGTATTGAAATGGCAACAACGCATTAAAAATTTTACTTTGATAGTCATAATATATTTTATAAATATTATATTTGTTTGGAGTCAAGGTTTAAATATTGGTATTAGTAGCAGTAGGGAAATTCTTATACATTCCGTATGTTTATTTTCTATAGGGGAGATTTAACATCATTATTATTGGCATGATTAGAGATGTGACATGCGCATGAAGAAAAATGCAACGCGCATTGCATCATACGCATAATGTGCATGAATTTTTTTATCAATGCCCCATACACAATTCTATTCAAAAAAAAATGTGAATTTTAATTTACCAAGTTATTATTAATTATATTATTGATATATAGTATTTTTAAGAAATGACAAAAATCAAAAATTTGGCCTCATTTGTTAAATTGGGTAGAATTGATAATTTCATCAGCTTTGCCCCTAAAAGGAATTGGTTTACTTTTTCTTTTATAAATGATAAAAAGAGAAATAAATTATTGACGCCTGAATGTGTTTTAAATTGGTGTATATTTATTTTAATTACAAATTAAAATGTCAAAAAAATACCAACAATGATAATATGGATATTACAGTTGATGGTGATGGAAATGTGGGAAACAAAAATGATAAAAGTAATGATGAAACAATTAGAATAGAAAGTGGAGAAGAAGAAGAAGGTAGTGGTAATGATAATAATATTGAAAATTATATTTAGATCTTTATTTTTATATTTTTTTTTTTTAAAAATGCAATGCATAAAACGCATGAAATTTTGAAATTTCATGCAATTATTTCCCATCTCTAGTCATGATTATTTGTTGTTTGAATTATATGAACAACTTTATCTAAATATAAAAACACAAATGAATAAAATTAGAGATACTATTTGTTACTAGAAACTGAATCATACCTACATCTCTTTCTATGAATAGGAACATTCAACATTTCAAATCCATCTGGTTTAGTGTATTCCGTAATTAATATACGTAACAAATTATGGATTTTTACTAAAGCACCCTTACCATATTAAAAACTAAAAAAGATCAAGAATAATCAAATAACTTACAAGATCAGAATGTTATTCAGGTTCTTCTTTAATTAAGACATGATGATGATAATCGTCTTGCTTCTCTTTCCATTGTATATCCATGCTAATTCTTCATTTGTTTCTGAAATTTCATCAGAATTTGTATTAGAGTTATTCTCTTAAAATATCTTTTAACTGCAAACTTTCATTCTTGGTCAAGTATTTTAAGCCATTTAATTTGTGGCATGGTTTCTATATTGAAATTTTTATATAGGTAAATTAAAAAATATAGATTTATAATTGCTAGAATTCTTTTGTGATTTTGTATAATATCCATTTGTTAATGCTCAGAAGATGAAGTTAATTCAATTGAAGCGGATGAAGAAATTTGAATGTGATTTTGAAGATTTTGAAGATTTAGATGAAATGTTAGAAGGAAGATTACTAATGACTATCTACTATTAGCTAGTAAATACTACTTAACTACTTAACTAATTGATTAATTAACATTATTTCAAAGCCTTGCTCATAAGAGTAGAAGGCAGAAAATTGTTGATTAATTCATTTCTGTGACAAACATTTTTACAAATTCTCTTATTTAATAAAACATTTTTGTAATAGGAAATTAATAGTAGAGTTTAATTGTTTATTTGGTTATCAGAGTAATAGTATGGAACTAGAGTTTCTATTCGTAATACAATTCTTATTTGAATAAACTTTCAATGTAATTTGAGTACTCAAATTCGTAATGAATAATTCAAATAAACCTTATTTGACTAGAAACCCTATATAGAACTCTGAGAGTTTGTAACTCGGTTTTGGTCATTTGCTTTGGTAGAAAGCAAAAGTTTGATTCTTGGTTTTCATTAAGTGTAAACATTTTAAAAGAATTGAAGTGTTTTTATGTAAACATAAGGTATTAAGATTGTTTGGCCAGATATAAAGTGCTGGCATTATTAACCAAAGTCGTTAGTTATCACATACATATTTTGGAAGTTATATGACCATTTAATAACATTTTTTCAAATTTCTTTTAGGATTACATTGATTATTACATTTGGTCTGTATTATGTACTGTATGACATTACGACCTAATTATGACTTTACAACTTTTAATTACGGCTATTACTCAGATGCCGTAATATTATGACATCCACAAATATACAAATGATAGAGTCAATGAGGATTTAATTACTGGTGTTTTAAATCATATACACCCTCAAAGAGATAATAATGCAAAATGGGAATTGTACAATTTGTTTATTGTAGATTTAGGGCCACCATATTACATTGAACGTAATTTTCATAAAAATTTTCATTGATATATCATGTATTTTTTTGATTGTATGGTACAGTCCAATGAATAAAAAGATCTGACTTAGTCACCGACTATCTTCTATGTTGATCAGTGGCAAAACTTCATGCATTAATAATAGAGCAAATAGGGTGATTTATTTACAAACAAAATATATTTCATCATTTATGAAATTTTGACGATCTTGGATCTCTACTTCCACACAGTGTATAAATTTCAGTGTGTAACTAATGCAGATTTCTACAAATTTATATTTAGAAACTATCAGTCAAACGACATATTACATTAAAAGAAAATCATTACCAAATTTGGTCGTGAGATTCAAAATATTCTAACACGAAAATTATTGTTGCACTTCTGAGCATAACTTTCAAATTTAAAAAATCTATGAGACAAAATTTTTTTTAAATTAATAGACTTCCCCTTTAAAGCTGAATTGAATGGCGGTGGGTTTTTTAAAATCCAATATGTGGATCACATAATATTTCAAAAATTTTAACTTTTGAGTATAGATGATCCGCACTGTAGGACAATTTGTATTTAATTTATAACATGATGAAATTAAAGGCAATTAATTACAACCAGCAACATTGTTTATTTAAATATGTATTAAAACTCTTCTAAGATCAACCGTGGTGCTATATTCATACTCTGGAGTTCTTGAAATAATAGTTTTGCTGCATATGGCATTTGTAAAGTGACAATATGTTTACTAGATTTACAATGTTGACACCATCCTCGATATCCTATCAATCCACATTTTTCACATACGTGAACATCAAATTGATCCGATGAAATCATTAATCTTTCCATAAGTAACATACTGGCTCCATAACCAACTAAACAATCACGTTCCATTTCACCCAATCTTAATCCTCCATCTCTCGAACGACCTTCAGTTGGTTGTCGTGTTAATACAGCACGTGGTCCTCTAAAATTTAGATTAATTTTTAATATGTATATATGCGTGTATATATATATATATATATATATTGAAAAAAAATATATTCATGTATTACCGAGCACGAGCATGCATCTTATCTACTACCATATGTTTTAATTTCTGATAATACACCGGGCCAAAAAATATATATGCAGATAAAGGCTCTCCCGTAATACCTATATGAATTTATATTATCATTATCTTATAATTCTATGCTAATTGTTAACTGCAAAAACAGTACCTGATGTCACATAATCCTTGCCAGAATAACTGTATCCATGTTCAATTAATATTTGACTCATATCTTCAACTTTACTTCCACCGAATGCTGTGCCGTATTGTAATTCACCTTTAAGAATTCCGGCTTTACCAGCCAACAATTCAATCATTTTACCTACTGTCATACGTGATGGAAAACCATGTGGGTTCATGATAATATCTGGGCAGATACCATTGTCCGTAAATGGCATATCTTCTTGAGGTACAATTATACCACAAACACCTTTCTGTCCGTGTCTTGATGAAAACTTGTCGCCCAATTCTGGAACACGCGTTTGTCTAATCAAAACTTTGATAAGAGTTTGTTCCTGTTCAGTGGTGGTGATGCACACTTTGTCTATATAACCAGGTTCTGGAGCCTTGTAAATTAAAGGAGCGTGTTTCCATGTGAATTGAATTGTCGGTGCAGTTGCGATTGGCATATTAACAGGTATGTTGGCGTTAAGATTAGTAGGTGTATGACGATTAACAATTACTTGCCCAGAATGAACTCTTTCACCAACTCCTGCAATACCATCTATCTCTAGTATGTTGAATCGATCAGCAGAAGGCCCTAGTGGTAAATCTGATTTAACGGGCGGATCACCTATACGATCAAACGATCCATTCGAGTATCTTTTCATTAATGACACGTGCTTTCTCATCACTTGACAACGACCAAATCCGCGATCAACAGATGCCTTAATAAAGAAAAAATTTGAAAATATAAAACAAAATAAATAAATATTCACAGTAAATTAAATTTCTTACCCTATTTAACACTAAAGCATCTTCGATATCATATCCAGAATAACTCATAACAGCAACCATGGCATTTTGACCTGCTGGAAGCTTTAATCCAACAATGAAATTATTCAATAGATTTGATTAAACTGACTAATTGATAATAGAAATCATTAGCGAATTAATACGAGTCTATTTACCTTATCATATCCTACCAATTCTATGGTTTTTGTTTTGACTAATGGCTGTTGAGGATAAACCATAAGATATAACAGCGTGTCTATCCTACGAAGTTGATTATATGCAATAGCACCAATTGCTTGTTTGCCCATAGCACATTGATACCTAATAATGTAAATAATAATTATTGTTTTATCATAAGGGGCAAGTTGATAACAACTGTAGTGCAAGAACAGTAAGGATAATTACGTGTTCCTGGGACTTTGATTATGGTGTGGATATGGAATTAGACCCGCGACTGCGCCTAAAATAGTAAAAGGCTCGATTTCTAAATGCGTAGTTTGTTCAACAATTTCACGCTCATAAATTGCTATATTAGAATCGTTTTCTTCATTTACATCCAAATATTCTATAAGTCCTTGAGCCAAGAAATCAGAAAATCGCATTTCATTTCGCTTTAATTTCTAAAAAAAGGAATAGTAAGCATTAGAATCAATTAATAATAATAAAAAAGATTATACATACTTGAATATGGTATGAGGTAACTTTTGGTAACTTGTTTTCTACTATAATCAATGGCCGACAAACTCTTCCGCCATCAGAAGCTATGTGTACAGCTGAATGATGATGATTTACATAAATGCTAACAAATTCTGAAACTCTTCTACAACGGCGTAAACGACGGAAATCTTGAACAAATTCATGTGGCTGACGCGTAATTCCAAGCATAAGACCATTAAGAAATACCATATAGGAATTGTCTTGATATAATTCAAAACCAGTAAGACTGTTCACATCTAATATTATTATTATTATTTATTATAGCACTTCATATGTGCGTATTAAAACGAGTATCTATTAAATATATTAAAGTTGTGTAAAACCTTCAACTCCCAAATTGAAAGCCAAACGTTTTAATGGTTCTTCTTCATCATCGGTTGTTATATGAGTCATTAGTGCAAGATTTTTAACTAAACCGCATGCCTCACCTTCAGGTGTATCAGCGGGACACAGCATACCCCACTGTGATGGCTAATAGCCCAAAATAATTGATCAAGTTATTTCTTATCTATGTAAGGTTAAAGAAATAACTTTCAAAAATCTCTATCTATTCATTTTACATAATAGATCCTCCCTCCCTCAATAGATTGACGCTATTTGTTCATACCTGAAGAGCTCGAGGTCCGCTAATTTTCCTTGTTTTTTCAAATTGAGAAGTAATTCTTGTCATGGTTCCTAATGCTGAAATATAACTTAATCTACTAAGCACATGTGTGATACCAGCTCTTTCCATCTTGAAACGTTTTAATGTCCAGTTTCCTGTAGCAATTGCTCGGACGAATCCATTTGTAATACTGTCACCATGTTGCATTAACTGTTTATGAGCATCAAATTCAGTTGCTCTATTAGGTTTTTTCAATAACTTGTCAATATTCAATTTAAGATCAAAATTAAATTTTTTGAATAAGTCTTCAAATAAAAGAGCCAACAAAGATCCTGCTCTGAATAAATATATATAAGATAATAACGCGAAAATTAGTCAAAAACTATTAAATAAATAGCGCTACTACCACTACCACTATTAATGTATACTAACAACTCTAATCTTTTATTTCCAACATAATCTCTATCATCAACTAAAGATTCCTTAGCCATCACCATTAGTACACGGCGTATCATTATAGCAATGTAAATGCATTTTGGTTGAAAGTTTAAATTTTGTACTGGTACATGTGCAAGTACAACTGTTGCTAAAATTTCTAAAGCTTCTTCAGCCATAGGTCTTCTAACATTTGCAATTTTTCTTGTCACCTTAACTTTGCTGCCAATATAATCTAAAGCTTGTTTTTGTGTAAAGATTTTCATTTTTGCACATTGTTCAATATTTGGTGAGAACATATTTAAAAATGTTTGATTTCCTCCGGATATCAATTGTGCAATTTCCTTATCAGACTGAATACCCATAGCCTAATAAAAAACAAAATAATAGAAATTAAGACTTTTTCCTTATTTACAATTATCTTTTAATATTAATAAAATTTTTACCTTCATGACTATAACTATAGGAATTTCTTCAGAAATCGAATTATGTTTTAATGTAATTTTATCATTTTTTAAATCATTTTTTGCCACTATATAAGTTTTACTTTTTCTTTCATGTGTAGAACTAAAAAAGAATATATAATTTAAAATTTTTATGAATGTTATATATTTTTTATATATATAAATAAGGAAAAAATATTTCTTTTACCTCGTAACATAAGCTTGTACAAGACCTTTTTTGTCACCTTCAACAATAATTCGATTCTTTGACAATTGTTCTTGAATTAAAATCACCTTTTCTGTGCCTTTAACAATAAAATAACCACCTATAAAAACAACATTAGTTAATAAATGACTACTATTATGGTTATGATAGTAAACAAAAAAAAGATTAATTACCTGGATCCAAAGGACATTCATACATTTTAGCCAGTTGTGCTTCAGTTTTACCAGTTAGTACACATTTTGAACTTCTAAGCATTATTGGCATTTTTCCAATAATGGTGTTTCTGCGTATTATTCTAGATTTTCCACGGACATATTCTACATCCACCATAATATTTCCCGAGTAAGTTAGATCACGAAGTCTACATTCATGAGGGGTAAAGATGGTCTGGTGAGTTTCATGATCATGATCTGGACGTTCTGGGGGGCCAACTTTAATATCAAGATATCTGTAATAATATAATAACAATACATCATTGAGAAATGAGAAGAATGAAGAGAAAATAGATATCCTTTTAAGACCTACTTTAACCAAAATGTAGGATCAACATCCGAGGTAATGACATCGTTAGCCTGCACTATTTTTTTTAATTCAGTTTCGACGAAATAGTTAAAAGAATCTATATGTTGTTTTACTAGACCTTTTACCTTTAAAAAAGCAGGTAAAAGTTCCCATTTATCCTATTTATAGAATATTTATTAGCTAAGATGCTATCTATACATGGAAAAATTTGTAATGATCGATCGAGCACACAAATACCTCTACATTCTTTATTGGATCTGAAAGGTTTTTGTGAGGAATATTTTTTTGCATCTTTGAAGCTTCAAAGTACATGGTGCTACAAAACCAATTTCAGTGGCCCGATTTATTATCCACGTGACAATACTATTTTTAATTCTGGTCAGGTACATGTATCGAATTATTAGTACGTAAAATTATGGCACATCTGTTATTCCCAGTTGATTGATTAATTAAAAAAATTTATTCACTTGGTCTAAAAGTGTGAGGCAAATTTATAGTTTTCTCCAGGATGGGACAGTCCATGTACATGTTGACAACACTGGTTATATAAATAAATACAATAAGAAATGAAAGTATGAATATAATATTAAATAATACACATATAATACCAGATTGGATTCTAGTGATAACAAATCATATTAGATTTGGAAAACATAAACTAGATTTTTATTTTTGTTCATGACAAAAAAAAAAAAAAAAAAATTAAATAATACACATAATATCATGATACATATATATTTACAATTGCATTGTTAATATTAATGTATAATATTTTAATGTATAGTTTTCAGAGTTCTGAAAGTTCTTTGACTTTATTATCAAAATCTTCTTGCAAGAAATCAATAGTACTGGAATGACTGAAAGAATCACTGTTTTCATTTTTTGGTTGCTCATCATTTTCCTCATTATCAATTTTATCAACTATGTTTGAACCTGAAATCATTCCATTAAGCATTGTTTCAACATATTGAATATCAGGCCTGCTTTTTGGGTCATCCTGCCAACATGCTAGATACAAGTAAATGATTAATAAA